ATATTATTTATTTCTATATATATATATGTGTGTATATGTATATGATATATGATATATATATATATCTTTGCCTGTTTGTCTACTTGTGAGTACCTTTATATATGCAACTGTGCAATAATGTATATATATATATATTACATGTGTGTATGTGCGTGTCTGTGTCTTTGTCTGTGTTTGTGTGTGTGTTTGTTTCTGTATCTGTGTCTATATCTGTGTGGCTGTGCGTACCTTTTCTTCTGTAACTTTAAGTTGTTGTATACACATGCTGATATATAAATATATATAGGTATATATATGTGTCTGTGTCTGTGTGTATATGCACAGGTATATGTATTTTAAGTATATATATAAATGTATTTGTGTGTGTTGGGAGGGAGAGGGAACAAATTCCATGTTTGAATGCGTGTTTGTATATATACAATGAATGTATATAGCTATTCATGTATAGGTATCTCAAAACATGAATGCACATATTATAGAATGTATATACATTCGCATGACTCTTATACATGAATACATGTATCTCTATATCTTTACGTTTGTTTGTTTAAACATCAGTGCGTGTGTAGTATATAGTGCTCGTGTGTATATAGTTAGACACTCTTTTCGTATCAAGTTGCAAATGGTTCAACTGTTTTCAGTATACTTTAGGTTCGACATACAGCAAGTACTTCAATATAACTATACATAAGCCTCTGTGGTCAATAGAGGGATGAAGAGACACATGTTTGCTTTATATACAGGTTGCATATACATTAAGTACTTCAAAATATATGATTATGCACGCCTTGTGATCATATATCTATACAGAGCGCTGTGAAGGAACTCATGTATACATACATGAATATATATTTATATTTATATATATATGTGTGTGTGTGTATGTAGGTATGTATATATGTATAAATATGTATATACATGTATGTGTTGTTTTGTGTGCGTGTGCATGAATAAGTCGGTTGCTTGTCCAATGTATTATGTACCGTAAATGCTTCCTTTTAAAATATATATTTACCTGTCAATCGGAGTTACTTAGGCATAAATTGAAAGATAAGAAAAATCCGGATACACACCCGTTTTGAACAGACATATATAAGTGTCGAAATTTTATTTCGAGTACTTATGCATGATTCATGCAAACCGGTACTTCCATCTGTATGTACCGTGTCGAAATTTTTGCTTTTCTCTTTTCAACTTAAGTTTGTAGCATTATTATGGTTGTGCTTGAGGTCGTCTAGGAGCAATTGTTATGCCAGCAATCATATGCAATTTTTACATTTTCAAACGACCCAATAATGTCTCATTCGTCGCAGGTATGTGCTGCTGAAAGAAAGGAACCAACTCATGACTCATATGCATGACGCCCGTAGCAATAGCCGGCAGATGCCTGAGAAAGACAGGTGAGCGTACCTTTGACGATATATATTTATATATATATATTCGTGGTCACCCGACATAGTGTCACCCAGATGTGTTCATTTATATTTTGAGTTTGCGTGCAGGGGATATGCAATCATACTTTACTCAAGTCTAGCTGACTTGTTGAGTTGCGCGCATGCAGAACCACTTGGTAGCAATAGTCGCCTTTGCCATCACACGAAATTTGCCCGGTGTCGAGAATATGGCTATATGTGTGTGCCAAACTCAGTCGGCACGTGTGTATTATATTCGTATCAAGTTCGGGTCTATGTGGGCTTACTTTATATTATACAGTGAACGGTATTGTTTAACTTCTGTTTTATAGATTAAAACGAGTTAAGCTGTCCATGGCGCGTATCAAGGTGGTCATTGGAGAAAGAGACAGGTCGGTTAAGGCAATTCACGTGGAAGAAAACAATGAGGGTGTGAAACGAGCAGAGAAGAGAAAGGCGAAGTTTGCCGTCTACCAAGAGTATGTCGTTTTGAAAAAACCTATTGCCTTTTAGAGTAGAGTTGGATGATATCAATATGTTTACCTCCAACTCCAGCCTTGAATTATACATTGGCCCAGATGGGCTCAGACTTGAGGCAATGTTTTGGTTTAATGTTGCATCCAAGTCCTGTTTATCAGATGAAATCAAACATTGACGGATGCCAGAGGAGGCTGATAATATTATCGACCATGGTTTTTTATTCCTACACAACTCGCAGTCGAATGATTATTCGAATACACCATCCACTCTTTCCGTTTCAACGGGACATCCTGATATTATGGTGCTATTCAAGCTCACATTGACAATTCTAATTTATGGCGCCATGTTCCACTCACCACTGTGACTAGGGCGCTGAGAAAGAGGGCGGAGAAGAATCTCCTAAAGCGCGGCGCCATCACTACGAATGGATTCGTAGAAAAGTCTATTAGATTAACTAGTCGTGCTGAGAAAGCCACGCATGCAAAGAGAAACGAGGCCGCTACGGCAACACCTACTGAAACAACGACTACATCTCAGAAGGAAAAGTCTGTCGACGAAAAGGCGTCTACTGCCGAGGCTAATGTGGTAAAGAAAACTGGTGAAGAGAAAAACTAGTCAGACTAAGCATTCTACTGAGTAATTACTCTATACCTTTTGTAGACTACGATAATCATGGTTTGATCATGCGGCATCTAAAGATTAAATTTTATGAATTCGTCTCCCGTCACAATGTTATACCTGCTGGTAGTATAGGTCTTAATTTTAAAAATATGTTGGTAACAAGAAAGCATTACAAGCGATCAATTCCGCAGCTGATAAAAATTCAGGCACACGATAAAATTAACTTGATCATATCCCATCCTATAGAGTTTAGAATTTTTAGATGAACAAATATTATCTGTCGGATTCATTTGCATAGAGTTAGTCCGATTTGAGGTAGCCATATCAGTACCTGTGGTAGGAACCTGTTTTGTTTATCCAGTGATCTTTGATTTTTTTGTTGTGGCTTAAAAACATCACAAATCAAGTCTTCAGAGATGACTTGCGCTCTTCACGAAACTTTCACTCTTAGAGTTTGACTGGATGACAGTTTATGTCTAAAAAGCTGTAAAGCAGCATTCTTCTGCATTCGATTTCGCGTCGACAGTCAACAGTACACTCAAAGTTCTGTGCGAAAAGATCCACCTATTAGATTTTCAAGTAAAACTATACAGATACTCAGATAGATAAAAAAACGTGTTTCGAAAAGCAAGTTCTACGTCAATACGAGGTTAAAAAAGATACGCGTCGTTCATAGTACATGCTCTTCTTTGTTGTATTTTTATTTTAAACACAACAATCAATTGTTTTAGTAAAAATATAAATAAGAGTGTACATATTAGGCTAAGCTCATTACGTTATGAGGGTACGGAATAGAAGTTTATCGTAAATGCATATTTATTCAATTTTAAAACGTTATAGCGGTTATAAAGTGATCAGAAAGGCCTACCTAAGTTTTTTGTAGGACTGAATCGTATGGTGAAAAGGTACTCAGCTAAATGTATAGACCAAGGTGAACCTGTGAGTATACAAAGGACCTTAATGAAATAAAAGTTGAACGTAAACGTATCTTATTTATTCGATATATAAAAGTTTTAACGGAAAACGGTTTGAGGTAAGGTATTGGACTAATCTTTATTTTATATAAAAAGGCCCGAGTCCTGGTCCCGAGTCCCGAGTACCGACTGAGGCCGACAGCCCGAAACTGACTCACTGAGTCACTGACAGGCCGATAGCCCCACACCCTGATGACACACATGTGACAAGTGGAATGACCTTTCCCCTTTTTCTTGAAATAATCTTGTGTGTTGTACAAATATTATTTTTTTATAGATAAAATGTTGTACATATTATATATAAAAGAGTATGACTGTGAGTCTCAGTCTCAGTGAGACTGTGTCTGTGTCTCTGTGGCTGTACTCACTGTAGTCTGTATCAGATTCAGTGTAAATAAACAATATAGAGGCCATGACACATCCATGATTATTGATTCGATGACTCTGACATTTTTTTTAGAAAAGTGTCGACTGTCGTCACTCGTCAGTCGTGTCCTCTCTAAAAAAAAATCATAAAAGAGCACAGACTACAAACTACAGAGTAAATAGACTCAGAGTACAAACTACAGACAACCTACTACATACAGTAGTACAGTCTAAATACACAACAGTCTACATTCTACACTACAGTTTACTCTCTCTATCTCTCTCTACTATGTAGCCTCTCTAGTCTCTACACTGGTAGTCTACACTCTACAGTCTACACTCTACACTCTATAGGCCCAGGGCCAGGGGCCAGGGCGCCAGGCCTTAGTACATAGGGCAGGAGTCAGGCCTCATTCATCCGTATTAAGGGTTTTTGGCCACAGCCTCACAGGGTTCTATTTATTTACAGTAGTTCACTCGATCTCCACAATTTCTTTTGTTGTTCTTATCTAAAAAAGCATTATGCTTTCAAAAAAACAAACAATATAATAGAACTAATAGACAGTAAAAAAAAATATTGGTGACATGACGGTGTTTGTAAACTGAAATATACAACATAAATAAATAAATACATGACGTCTGATGATGATATCAATACATAATACTATATTTAGGGACAAGTCGCCATCTGCCGTCCATCAGCGCGTAGAGACCCTGTCGCTGATCAAGTTATCGAGATAAGGTTGTTATTTTTAGTTGTAGACTTGTCACTTGACTACTCTACTACTAGAGTCTACTCTCTATATTCGCTGCTAGTAGTAGCGGCTCAGTAGTACAGAGGCTATGTACTACTTTTAACTAAATAAATACTAGAGTAGAGTGAGTTGACTTGTGTCGTGTGTAAATAGGGCACTGTCGGCCTGTAGGGCGGGTAGGCTTACTACCACTTCACATTTCTTGTGTGGATGAATGGCATACGGGCTGCTCAGTCTGAGCTCACTCTTCTCTCCCTCTCTAATTTATATAATATATCAATAAACAGGAGAGAGATTGAATTTAAAACTAAAAAATAGAAAACAAAAGCCTTCTGAATATTGTTAAAAAAAAATTTACATTGCACTCCCAAGGTCTCTCTTGGTGAGACTTGCAGGAGGATTTTCTTTTTTTTTAATAAACTACACAACTGAATTGAAATACCGACAAAAGGGCGCCTAACGATTATCGAGTTCATCTCGCTGACTCACTCCGGTCTCCGCCCTTGGTGCGGGGTAAACTTCAGCCAGATTTTTTTGTTTTTTTGTTTTTGTTTTGGATTTTGTCATTTTTTTATTAAAAACACCAAATTAAAACAACCCCAATAAAAATAAAAAGTTGGAAACTTGGAATATCCAAAAAGACAAAAGAACCTGTGATTTTTTTTAAAAACACAGTATTGTAGCGTATACAATAATATTATTATTACACACAAAAAATTTTGATATATCTATATATATCTAAGTATATATACATGTACATACATATATATATATTTATATGTGAACTCGACCGCGAATAGTGCGGATTCAAATCAGACACGGTGGCGCCCTCACTCCTAGCTCCGCGACCGCACCACCAATACAATTGTAACCAAACACACCCAGCATACAAGTATAGTATTCGCACATACAGCACCTATAGAAACCAAGTAGCATACACCAACATGACACTGCAAGTAGACTGCTTCTTCAGCGGCGTAGGTCGAAGACAGGCCATAGCTCTATTACGGTCGTACGGAACTAAGTGCAGCTATCTTATTAGAGAGAGCCAGAGTGTGCCGGGCTCTTATGTGCTCACTTTCCGAGTCGACCCCTTTATCCGAAACTTCACAATTGTTGTACAGGTATGCTTTATGGAGATATATCGCAAATTTGATGCTCTGAGCTTTTGTCTATGTGCATATGCGGAACATATTATATCAATATGAACTATATTTCTAGCGTCGATTCTGTATATTTGTTGGTATAGTGTATTATTAAATACCCAGCTAAGAGGTACATTGTGGTGACAAACAAAACAGTATATTTGTTATACAAATAGGCCCCATATCTTTAGTTAGACATTGTATGGCCTTTATTGATCTATTTTTTTATCCAGTGGGTAACGGTAATGTCAGAATATATATCTATATATATATATATATACATATATATATATATATATATATATATAATAGTATTATATATATATATATATATATATATATATATGTGTGTGTGTGTGTG